GAATATAAGAAAATGTTAGAAAAACGTTTAGCTTTAGCTGTATTACAACGTAATTGTCGTAAATATTTATCATTACGTAATTGGCCATGGTGGAAATTATATACAAAAGTTAAACCATTATTATCTGTTGCAAGACAAGAAGATGAAATGAAAAAACTTGAAGAAGAATTTAAAACACTTAAAGAATCTTTAGAAAAAGAAGAAAAATTACGAAAAGAAGTTGAAGATAATAATGGAAAATTAATTCGAGGTAAGAGAAAAAGAAAAACAATATTTATTATTTATTTTTAAATATCTTTTTAAGAAAAAAATGATTTACTTCAACAATTGGAATCTGAACGAGTTGGTTCATCAGAAGCTGAAGAACGTTATACACGCTTAGGTAAGCTTCTTTTGATTACACCTATCCAAATATAGATTCTAAGAAATATATTAAGATTTGAGTTTTACAACATATGTTACAAATCGAGATTAAATTTCTTCTAGTTTCAATTCTAAAATTCTTTAATATTGTTATTTCGAAAAAAAAAAAACGAATAGTTTTAAGAGAGTCTGCTATACATAAGCTGTTGAAAGACTATCGTTATAGAATACTATGAACGCAATAATGTTTTTATGATATATATTAACCACATAATACGATTATCTGAAATGCATTTTTTTTCAAGTAGGAAATAACAGAAAAGATTTAATCTTCATTAAGTTTTAAAATTTTCTGACTTCTTTGATGAGTTTTATTAAAAAAGAGAATCAATATCATTGAATATTTATAATTCAGTTAGGAAAATAATTAAATTTGAAATATCCACATGCTAATATATACATATATTTGATCGATTTCTAATATAATATAATATTTTCTAGTAACACAAAAAGCTGATCTTGAACAACAAATCAAAGATTTAGAAGATCGTTTTAGTCAAGAAGAAGAAAGTGCTCAACAATTAAATAATAAGAAAAAGAAACTTGAACAAGAAATTGATTCATTGAAAAAAGATATTGATGATATGCGTTTAAATTTACAAAAATCTGAACATGAATGTAAACAACGTGATACACAAATTCATACATTACAAGATGAAATAGCTCATCAAGATGAAAATATTGCAAAATTAACACGTGAACGTAAACGTCTTGAAGAACAAAATGCTAAAACAACAGAACAATTACAAGCTGAAGAAGATAAAGTTAATCATTTAAATAAATTAAAAACTAAACTTGAACAAACACTTGATGAATTAGAAGATAGTTTAGAACGTGAAAAGAAAGCACGTGTTGATTTAGATAAATCAAAACGAAAACTTGAAACTGATTTAAAAACATTACAAAGTAATTTAGAAGAAGTAGATAAATCAAAACGTGAATTACAAGAAGCACTTAAACGTAAAGATCAAGAAATTCAACAAATGGGTGGACGTCTTGAAGATGAACAAGGACAAGCAACAAGTCTTGGAAAGAAAATCAAAGAATCACAAGCACGTATTGAAGAATTAGAAGAAGAACTTGAAAGTGAACGACAAGCAAGAACAAAAGCAGAAAAACAACGAGCTGATTTAGCAAGAGAAATTGATGAAATGGGTGACCGTTTAGAAGAAGCTGGTGGTGCAACAACATCACAAGTTGAAATGAATAAAAAACGTGAATCAGAATTACAAAAACTTCGTCGAGATTTAGAAGAAGCTAATCTTCAACATGAAGCTACAGCTGCACAATTAAGAAAGAAACATCAAGATGCTGTTACTGGTAAAATAA